TGCTGAAAATTCAGTCCATCATCCTTGAGGAGAATCAAATTTGGTCTTAGTGTAATCTTGATCCATCCTCTTTAACGCAGAGCAGACTCTTGCTCCAAAGGAATTAGGTGGGTGCACATTTGCAGGCCTATCTCATGAATAGGTGTGGCGATGAGGGAGACCAGCAGCGATGTCGGCGCACGACATCCAGCTGTGATTGGCGAAGAGAACAGGAGGAAGTGGAACTGTAGCACCTTGGATTGAGATGAATTTCTTGAATTTTTTCCTACTAAAGTGATATGAGAGATCAATAGAGGCTCTCAATGAAAGCACCAATGTTGGTCCAAAATAGGACGCTCGTAGGCTTTAGGAAAGCTACGTACGACACTCAAGCAAGAATTAGGAAAGTACGAATATGGAAAGTTAGCCAGAAATAGCATCTAGAATTTCGCTTCCTTAGTTTGAATTACAAAGTGCCATTTATAGGCGTATACAATTCGTAACCGCTACCGATAATAATGACTAATTAATTACAACATTAATACAGAATTAAATACATAATTAAACGCGCATTAATTGCTTGACTGTTACTTTTCCTGGCTGGGAGGTCGGCCGGACTGGCAGGCTCCCCGTTGGGCTGGCAGGCAGGCTCCAGGTTGTGGACTTGGATCCACGAGTTCAAGTTCGGGGCTTGGGCTGATTAGGCTCCGGGCCTAGTCCCATTACTCCATCAATACCTGACGTGGCAATTCATTTTTTAAGTATCCATAGTCCCACTACGGATGCTCTAAGACCAGAGTTCCCCAACCCTCTCCTCTGCCACTATGTATATCCTTATTCCCTATAGAATAACAACACAATATAAGTGAAAGATGTGTGCCTGTCAAGAATCTCATAAGGAAAGAGGCGAGAGAGGATACAGGATTTATTCCAGTTCATTCATTTATCATGGATCCAGGTATTCCTAAATCCATCTATCGGTATATGATTGAGTTAATGACTCAAATAGTACTAATAGCAAAGTTAATTTCACATCTATGACTATAAATGAAACTCAAGTTTCGTAGGACCAGTTTCAGCCCAATTGGACAAAAATACCCCTCTTTTAAATATTTAAATTCCAAAAATGTAAAATAAAAAACTATTGAAACCCTAGCATCACTGTCATTGCCAGATCCAAATGGCCTGCCGCCACCCCTTGCCGGCGCATCCTGTCGCCGCCCTCGCTGGCGCTTTCTGCCGCCGCCCTCGCCGAAATAACAAAAAAAAAACTTGGCTTTTTCGTCCGTAACGAGATAATCTTTCAATTTCTAAATTTTCTTACCATACTTTAAATAATTTTTAAAATAATACACTATTAAAACTACATTTTTGGACTTATCATTCATTCCATCACATTATTCCACCATCTCCCATCAAATGTTCAATAATTTATATCATCTTTCACTATTTTTAACCTACCTACTTTTGAAATGGAAACATTTTTATATTAAGAAGGAAGTATCATAATTCATAATAGATTTGTTTGGCTTTTAATGGCTTACTACTAGCACGTACGACTCAGTTAGGGGATAATTGATACTCCCTCCGTCTCGAAATAATCGTCCTGTTTTGACCTTCACACAAATTAAGAAAACAAAGTTGACTTCACACTGTAGCGACACTGTTTGGCACTGTACCAACACTGTTTAGCACTGTTTTGCACTGTTTGACACTGTTTTGTATAGATTTGTTTATCAAATAAGGAAAGGAGACAATTATTTCAGGACGGACCGAAAAGGAAAGCAGGACAATTATTTCGGGACGGAGGGAGTAACATATTCAATTGGTACGTGTTAGGATCTGATCTAGAATGTCATCCTTAAAGTTTAACCATAAAAAGGTACGTTTTATTATGTTATATCGATCTGGTTTGAGACAAATGCTTTAACATGTCCATCAAATCAAATCAGACTGGACAATATCAATGCGTATAAATGAGTCAAAAAGACCCTTAATTAACAAGCTAGTCTTAATCGTGATTGTTAAATCATAATCAAACAACAATTAAATATGACTCTCATATCAGGTCAAGACATGAGTTTTCTTCATAAAAAAATAATCCGATAAAAATGGTAGCGCAGAATCTAGATTGAGTTATTTAATGTGTTATATCAATCCATTGTAAGACAAATACTTTAACAAGTCGGCTAATTTGACTAGCCCAGTTGTTGTTTACCAATTACTACAACGTATATAGAGCCTATTTGGTAGCATTGAAATGAGTTTAATTGGCTGATTCTGCTGAAGTTCTGGTTGAAGTGGCTGGATTGGTTGATTCTTCTGATTTATGAAAAATTATACTCCCTCCATCTCATTGAACTTTACCAACTTCCCCTTTTTGTTTGTCCCAAATTTTTTTTGCCAATTTCTTATTAAAACAACTAATTTGTGGCTCTGCATATTTCTCTTCCTCTGCACAAATGTCAACCACATAGGTTTTATTATTCTTATTTGTCACCTACTTTGCACTTGGCAAAGTCCACCGTAACGGAGGTAGTATTAAAAATATATTGTACTAAGAAAATAAATAAAAAAAATATATGAAAAATAGCTAAAATGATTCTCTACAGTAACTTCAGTCAATACAGCCAGAAAAGTAACTCCAACCTTATTTTTTATTATTATTACACAATTCAACGCGCGAAATCAAAAGTTACGTGTTTGGTGAAGAAGCTGACTAATAAGTCTGATAAGTCGAAAAGCATGGTCATCAAACGGGCTCATAGTTTGCTAAAATTATTGATTCATTGTCAAAATTAAACGTTATTTTCAAACATATATGGCCAATTTAGGAATCATACTATTTGGTTTGGCCATTGTCATTAAAACTTAAGCAAATTATGTATGTACTCCGTAGAACAAATCATGTGCCGGGATGTTATCATACAATCGAATATTTTTGGTTAACTTTTGATGAAGTAGGCAAGAATTAGATTATTCCTCGATGTAAGTTTTGAGTTTTTTTTTCTCTTTTTTACAAATCTAAGTCATCAATAGTATTTTAATGAGCTAATATAGGCTTCAATTCAATCCATTGGTCAATTAGAGCAAGTGATTGGACCCCGTAGTAATTAAGCCGGACTCCTAGTTAAGAGACATCTGCCTCCATATATCATTGTATTGAAATAAGGGTCAAATGCTTGAATAATACTCTCTTATTGTTGTGTTTAAGTATCATAATTTTTAAATAAATCAAATCAGTATCATAACTATATATAAATGTTTCAATTTTACAATTTTATTTAAACTTGCAGTCAAAAAATCCTACATGGTGATCATAATTCTATGTGTATATCGTGGGATCGGCCCACCATGTGCATTGTGCGCCGATTCCAAATGACGTAGTTTTATTAATTAAACAAGAGACCGCTCTTAATCCCTACAATTCACGATAGTGCCACCGGGAAGATGGAAGACTAACTGGAGAAAGATACGATAGTATATAGTTCGTTCACCCTTAGCTGGGAAAAGAGCGCTCTTGCTATGTCGTATCCTGGAGGTTGGAGTAAACCTTGCTCCACATGACCTCAGCCTGGAGTAAAGCAACGGCGATTATTGGTTGCTGGCCAAGCATGAGGAACGTTGTAGACTCGAATTGATTAGAAATATTCGTTTATATACATATATATGATACACACACATATAATAGTAGACAATTTACATTTTGATTTGGTCAAATTACATTTGAATATACATGAAGTTGCATAAGGATTTGCCTAGAGTTACATATCTATTAACGTGAGTTACATGTCAACTTTGTTTAGCAAGTTACATCTTGCTTACACGTGATTTACATTTTCCATAATACGAGTTACACCACAATATAATGCGCGCGAGTCACACAACACAATAACCCCTATTATTCAAAGAATAATCATTTTCATAAAAAATCATTTTTATAGCCTTGATATTAAAAACAAAAACATATACACTATTTATGTAAAATAGTTGAGCAATTAGACTCATTTTTTTCATTGAAATCAATATTTTATTTCTTATACTCCCTCCGTCCCGAATTATAGGTCTTGTTTGCTTTTGCACAAGTTTTTAGAAAAGTGGTTGAAAGGTAAAAGTTGTGGTTGTGATTTGAGTAGAAAAAGGTGAATTGATATGAGCCACCCATTATTGCCAAAAGAGGAAACAAGACAATTACGACCTCCGTCCCTTAAAACTTTGTCAAAGTTGACCCGACATGAAGAATAATAAAGTAAAAACTGTGTGGTTTAGATTTGTGCAGAAGAGAGAGAAATAACAGAAACCACAAATAACTGATTAAACGGGAAAGTGTCAAAGTTTTTTGGGACGTCCCAAAAAGGAAAGATGGCAAGGTTTTAAGGGTCGGAGGGAGTATTGTGGGACGGACTGAAAAGGAAAGCAAGACATTTATTTCGGGGTGGAGGGAGTATTATGTATTGGACTAGTTACATTTCGACTAGACTTGAGTTACATTCATCAATAACGTGAGTTGCATTTCTTTACACGTGAGTTACATCATTCTGCTACTGGAACAAGAGAAAAATAAAAAATAAGTACTGTACGCTCGTGTATTGTTCACGCGTGATTTTTTTTAATTAAAATTTGTTGCAAAACTATGTCGATTTGGGTGTGGAGCACGGTGCTCATTGTGGGATGATCCCACGGTATACGATTTACGAACTGGTCACCACAGTGATGCCATGGACAAAAGTAAGATAAATTGGACTTTACGCATAGAATTTTGGCCTCCATATATGATTCTTTGGTCGAAAATTTGAATAATATTACAGATTGAAACATTTATGTGTAGCTATGATGCTAATTTGATTCATTTAAGAGTTAAAATACAAAAACGCAACAATATTGTATTTGACTTGAAATGAACATTAAGTCCAACTTTATGGTGTAATAATCTTTGGAATACAGTAAACACATTTACTGCCATCCTTTATGGATCATTGATCTCAACAACTTATGTATTCAAAAATTGATTTCAGCTACCTACTCGATCCGCATTGGGTTCCTTCATTAACTGCCAATTTCAGGCAATCACCTTATATACATATATCCTTCATACATTTCTTGCTCCCTCACTCCAAATATCCATGCAGCAAGACCAACTTCTGTAGCCCTTAAAACACATTGTGCAAAAAGATAGTGCAGCATTATGGTGACTCGTCAAACTTTGATCACCGCACTGTTCATCATGACTTTGGGTCTTGCATGCGGGACACACTTCTCTGCTTCCTTTGTCATCAAGGGCTCTGTTTCCTGCATGGACTGTGTTTCCCATCATGATATCTCAGGTATATATGTATACTTGTTAGGATGTTTTCTTTTGGAATGTTTTCGGTCGCAGACCAGACTAAACCAGACCACACCAGACCAGACCAGACTTCCGTAGTTATAAAATACACAGAGACCAGACGTTTACCGGACCAGACCAGACTAGCAAATATCATTCCGAATGAAAACATCCTTAATTTGCCTTCTATTTTCCTTCACTCCAACTATCATCTTAGTTCAATATATTATCAGCATTAAGACTTTGCTTCCTAAATAAGAATTCGCCTTCTTTGACTTTCTTGGTCAAACAGGTACACATGGACTAATGATTTTGAGTAGTACCGAGTACATTTTGTAAATTCATATGGGAGATTTATTAACTAAGTACATTTTCATATCAAGTTTTCATACTTCCCTCAGTACCATTTTAGTTAGCCAAACTTGACTTTTCAAGATAATGGCTTTTAACTTTGACCGATTATATAAAAATGATATGAAAATGTTCTTTGTTAAAAATACTATCATAAAAGTATAAAATTATTAAATTTTGTATAAATATATTAGTTTAAATAATTGGTCAAAGTTTACTACCTTTGACTGGAAAAATCAAAGACGACTAAGTAAATTGGGACGGAGGTAGTATATTAATACTCCGTATTAATATGAGAATATCAATTAATATGATATGAAAATGTTCTTTGTTCTACGTTTACACACTCCAAAAACGTAGAACAATATGACTATATATCAATTATTTTTTGTTATGAAATTGTTCTAAATATAACTAAAACATCAGAAAATTATAAAAATAGGACTTCAATTAATTTTTTTCTTTCCAAATTAAATAGGATTCATTTGATCCTATTAAAACTATACACAGCTTCCTCAAATAGGAATCAATGAGTTCTGTTTTAGTTAGAACACAATGATGATTCTATTTAGGGAAAATCCCGAAATACAAGTAAAAACATTTTGAAATTACAAAATAAGACTGACATATATTTTATTTTTTTAATATGAGTAATTACTATTAAGTATATGAAATACTGTCATGATTAACGTCTTCTAATGCCAAAACATGAAAGTAATTACTCATATTTAATGAATAATGAATTATACTCCGTAACAAAGCATCTACATTTGAATTGGAATTTACAAACTCTTTACTCCTATTTAAAACAATGGCTTTTCTAGTTGTGCACTTTGCCTACTTAAAGAGTTTGCTCTTATTTGTTTCATGATCTTATTGTTTATAAGGAATCATGGTCTCGGTGAAGTGCGGTCAGGTAACGAAGTTGGCCACGGTGGCATTATCAAAACAGGACGGCAGCTTTGAGACAACTCTTGCTTCAAACCCACCGGTTTCCGCCGCCAGCTGCCAAGCAAAGATTCTCGGAGGCGCCCAACAGCTATATGTTCATAAGACAACCTCGGAGGCTAAGATCGTCACAGCACTCGGGCACAGCCCGTATACAACCTCGGAGCCGCTGAGGTTTTACACCGAATGCCCGAACAAGAAATGTGGAGCTCCCGCGGATTTGGAGTTCGGGTCGTCAAAAACCATTGATCTGCCCAAGGAGTGGGGACTTGCTCCCACTAGCTATTACATGCCTTTCATTCCTATTATTGGCATACCCTAGCTAATTATGATATTATTATAAATAAATCCATGTGTTTGTTGCTAAGATGAAATAATTAATCTGCTATTTAGTATGTAGTGCTGTTAAGGAAAAAGAAAATGATGATAGGACACCAAAAAAAATCATAATGATTTATTATTTGTGAAACATACTTCTATTATTGGTAGTATATCAGTATATGCGAGCTATACTATATGCATGTGTAGCTAGACAGTGTAGTGTCACATGTCAGAAATTAAGTCCTCCAAGGCTCCAAGTCTCCAACCTTCCCTTTGTGTCATCAATGTTAAGTTGTATTTCTTATTAAGCCTATTGCTAATTAGTTTCATTGAAATCATTAATTATGAGTGTTTTTGTAATTTTAGTATATTATTCTAAAACTATTATTGTATATGCTCAAGATAATGACAACTTTAATTAGCATGAGACTCAAACATGTGACACATACTTAGCTTTCATAGATCAAAAGTGATGTCGTTAGACCATATACGTAGTATAAGGTACTTGGCATAATAGTAGGACGGACCGAAAAGGAAAGATAGATAATTTTAACGGAACGGAAGAAGTATTACTTATGCTAGCAGTAAAAGGTACAATGATAGTATTGATTTAAAAATTGCTCAATATATATAGGAGTAAAACATACACATATCACTCTAAATACATCTTTATTTTTATATGCATTTTACTATTGTTTAAACTTCCCAAAAAAAAATCTGGTGGTGTACTAATGCCCCTGTCAATCTTTGAGGCCATGGATCCTTCATATCACCACAAGAAAAAGGAGTTTAAAATTTTAAACACTACTAGACAAAAAAAGTTCAGATCAAACTAATTTATGAGACCAACTAAATATAACTCAAACCAAGCAGACTGGACTAAATTAAATCAGATCAAATCGAACCAAATCATGCTAAATACATCATTATTCGTTAGTCATCATCTAAAACCCATTTTGTCTGTGCACCGTGTTTTCAAGACAAAAAATAGCCTTCACAGACAAGTGTAAAAATGTCGTGTATGTCTATATTTCGTTTACAAAGTGAAGATACTAATCTTAAAATTAAATCGTGCGGAAGATCAACGAATCACATTCTTCTTTTATTGTAAACTCTTTGGCTCATGATCTTTTAATATACAAAAGATCTGTTTGTACCCACTTTGTACCCACATTTGTACCCAGCCTCTATTTTGTCTGTGTACACAGACAATTTATTAAAAAAAAGCAACATTTCGTTTGTGTTTATGTACAGACAAAATAAGAGTGAGTATAAATCTGTCTACAAAAACGAGTACAACCCAATTTCCCTATACAATTGGCATCCCCATCTGGACTGTTCACACAACCACTCCGCTTCCAAGTTCCAACTCCTATCGTTCCGGCCCCCAACGACTCCTCGTCGACTGCAATCCCGCTTGGTCTCGTGTGATTGGTTAGATGGCCATACTGTATGGGTTGGTGGCGAGGGGGACGACGGTTCTGGCGGAGTTCAGCGCCGTCACGGGGAACACAGGGGCAGTAGCGCGGCGGATTATGGAGAAGCTTTCTGGGACGGCTGAGTCCAGGCTCTGCTTCTCTCAGGATCGGTACATCTTTCACATTCTTAGATCCGATGGCCTGACCTTCCTCTGTATGGCAAACGACACTTTCGGTAGTAAGTGCCGTAATGATGTCTTTTCCCTACTTTCGTATTGAGTTTCCCTTTCTTAATCAATCCGATCAATGTCATGATCCTAAACTTTGAAGGCGAGGTTTTTCCAACGAACTACGAACTTTGTATACTACAAACTTACTGCTCGAGTCTCGTTACTGGGAAATGAGCTTGGAACTTAAATTTGTTTGTTTTTTATTAGGAACGTAGAAAGAGGCTAGAAAGAGAAGGAAACTTCACTACTAGAAAAACTTGGGGTTGGATTTTCATTTTAATATTAAAGAGAAGAAGATGTATGTTTTATTTCACCAAGATGGAGTGAATTGAGTTAATGAAGATTAAATCTAGGAATTTATTTCATTTCTGCTCCAATTACTTCTTCTCTGTTCCTGAAGCTTTGCCTTTCCCTTTCCCATAACGGGCAAGATGAACGGTATTCCCTTTCCCATGTCTCTCCAAAATACGCACCAACTCCTTTTTCTGGTGGTGTACTAATGCCCCTATCAATCTTTGAGGCCATGGATCCTTCATATCAGCTCCGGCCTCTGCAGACGCTAGAAAATGTCTGGATGACTCGATTTGCCCTTGTTGCACCCTGAACCATCTTACCCGATATGCCCTAATTGCATCCTAAAATATCTGACTCAATTGCCTAAATTGCACCTTCAACACATTCTCAATCACACACACACACAAATTCTGAGATAACATGCATGATGAAACATAATGAACAGTCTTAATTTGCAAAATTGAGGATTTTGTTTGGCATTATTTAGGGAGGATACCATTCTCCTACTTGGAAGATATCCACATGAGGTTTATGAAGAATTATGGTAGGATTGCTTCCCTGGCGCCAGCCTATGCCATGAATGATGAATTTTCAAGGGTTTTACATCAGCAAATGGAGTTCTTTTCGAGGAATCATAGTGCAGACACACTAAATCATGTCAAGGGTGAAATTAGCGAGGTAATTGTTTCCACGAGCTTTATCAACAGTATAAATTACTTGTTTTATTACAGTTTAGGCATACACAGATGAGCCATTTATTGTCATAACATGATCTGTACAATATAATTTGTTAATGAATAGAGTGTGTGTGTGTATATATATATATTATGTTAGAACTTAGAACATACACATATCTGTTATGGTTTAACTTGATTTCCTCTTTCCTTCTGCTGCAGTTGGTTTGTACCCTTTTTGCATTTTGATTGACTTGATCCTTGCTAAATTCTTTCTTTATCTTATCTAGTTATCTGTGAATATAAATTCAGATACACACCATTATGGTAGATAATATTGAGAAAATACTTGAGAGAGGTGACAGAATTGAGCTTCTGGTTGACAAAACTGCCACAATGCAAGATAATGCATTTCACTTCCGAAAGCATTCAAAGCGCCTTAGACAAGCTTTATGGATGAAAAATGCAAAGCTCATGTAAGTCTTTTATGATATTGGATATGATTATTATAATACAAAAGTAAAGGAGAGGATCCTCTTTTCTTTCTAGTACTCTGTATGTTTTTGGAGGTATTCTATCTACTGAGTTACGAGCTTATTCCATTTCAAGGGAGTCATTTTTGGTCAATGTACAAGTTTATTTTTTTAGTGAACTCTCTCACCGGAGGTACAAGCTTATATGTTATACTCTTAAAATACTTATTTTCAAGATTGCTTTACGGAAATGACTAATAACCCTCTCAGCTATTATTTGCAAAGTATAAGATTTATATATAGAATGAAAGTTGACTTTTGAAACAACACTCTTTTCTGTTGTGACAAAAAGTTCTCTGAACAGGCCACCTTTTGGGGACGGTATAGTTTGAACATTATGTCAGGCTATGTTATTTACTCGCTACTCGGTAGCAACTCGGTCAAGGGCCAAGTAGCGAGTAGGACCGATTACTCGGGATTACTCGGTGATTAATCGGCCTTGTATTAATTAAATATAATAATATAGGTGCCCTATATTACAGAAATATAGTAGTCTTAAAATAGTCTTTAAATTGTCTTAAAATGCATAGAAGTGAATAAAAGTATAGAAATCCTATTATCCTAATGATGGAGTAGCAAAAGTCATAAAACGAAAGTGATAAAGCAGTCAATCATCTAATAAAACCAGATTAGATGTGTATTTTTCATGGAGACTATAATAGTATGCACCTTGAAACTTAGTACATACAACCAGATTAAAAAAAGAACAGGTTTGACTGCCTAATAATGAACGAGAAAAATAATTTGGAATAGGATATAGTATCTCAACTAGATAGAAATGTCACACCATTCAGCTTAGCAACTCCAAACAAAATTGTACATCAAAATAGCTTACATTCTGTGGGAAAAAAATTGTAGCTAAAGCTTCCTAAGTGTATAAATTATAGTAAGCTTAAAACTTACAACATGTCAGCATGTTTTGGATTGTAGAGACATTGTAAGAGCTTGTTAATAAAATGATACACTTTTGGTTACTACTACTAGAACAAGAAACGAGACAGCGACAGGGGAGGGGAATATACGAAGCTCCAAACACAGACACTGCCAACTTGCCAACGAAAAATTAATATAAAAATCAATGCTTAATACATAGAATAAAAGGAACTTAATGCCTCAGTAACATAATAACTAAGGAACTTAGTAGCAGGGAATTCAATGGTCAACAATTTCGGCTGCAGCCGTTTGAATAATCCCAATTTAATTTTTTTAACAAGAGGAAGAAGAAACGAGGGAGCAAATTACCTGTAGCACCTCGCAGCAACCCTGTAACACTCGCAGGTGACTCCCAGCAGCACTGTAGATTCGTAGAACTGGCAGCTTCTAGTAGTCGCAGCTCCAAACAATGAAGCAGCACTGGTCGAAGCCCCAAAAGATGACCGACACAGCCAGTCGCAGCTCCTAAGGATGTAGCAGCACTGGTCGAAGCCCCAAAATATGACTGCTTAAAATAGTTTTAGGTTTTGAGCGCAGTTTTTTTAATACACTGAGTAGTAGCGAGTAACTCGCCCATTTGACCAACTCACCGAGTTGACTAACTCGCCGAGTACTCGGCGAGTAACTCGGATAATTAACTCGGGCCGAGTAAAGGTGCTACTCTGCAAGGTAGGAGGCCGAGTAGGGAGTACTCGCCGAGTACTCGCCGAGTACTCACCGATTAAATAACCCAGATGTCAGGCAACTCATTTAATTATGTGTTTTAGTATAAGACTCATTTAAGGTGTCAAGGTCATAATGATAGTTAGCTTTATGGTTTCAATCAATCGGATAATGCTACATGTGTGGCCTTTTGCTGCTGTAGCAATGATAGTGCACCCCTAATTATGTTCTCTAAAACTATATATTTGCATATGGATGTATTTTCCAAACACTATCACACATTGATGTAGCACAGCTCACGCGCACCAAATAAGTTTTGGTGTTTGGAGTTCAAACTTAGTTACATAGAATGAAAAAGAAAGAATGACTACCCCTGTCCCAAACTTGAGTCCCATTTTCTATTCATCGTTCTATTGTGTAAACTTTTACTCTAATTTCAAGCCCTGGATGTTTTGTATTTTCAAACTCGACTCCTGAGGCTTAATGCAACTTTTGATGTAGTTCTAAAAATCTAAAATTCTAATTACCAATACAAATTTAACTACTATTAAGAACTAGTCAACTTCAATGAAACTTCGTAATTTGAAATAGGACCTTCAAATTGGGATGGAGGTACTATCTAGATGCCAAATTTCTGGCTGTCAGCCCACTTAGTCTTATGATTATTGAAGAGTTTGTTTCGGCTATATTGTGACCACATTCTATGAATTATGGTTAATTAATATAATGACTACTTGAGTAGACTACATTTCCAATATAAGGTCAACCCATTTTCATTGCACTAATGACTAATTGTTTTAAACGTTCCACAGGCTTTTACTTACATGCTTGATTGTCATCCTCCTCTACTTTATAGTTGCTGCTTTCTGTGGTGGCATTACTCTACGTTCGTGCAGATCGTAACCTCTCCTGGTGTGTCCTTGAAAACTCCATTTGACGATTGACGTGGAGATGGTATTTTAATCAGTAAGAATGTAAGATGGTCAAGAATAGTTGAGCAACGAGTTATGTCTAATCATTTTATGATGAAGCACATGGTACCTTATTATTGTCACTGTAAATGCTTGTCATCATCATAAATACTATATCTTGTTGAAAACTACATTTTTTAAATTTTTATAAATGATATATATGTAATGTATTTAAATGTATAAAGAACTACATAGTAGTAGCATTTAACCATTGTTGTTTTCTCTTGTTGACAGTAAGTACCTTATTAGTTACTCCATGGGAGTGCAGTACCTACACAATAATTTAGATGCAATTACCTAAAAGCTAAAAAATGTTCTTATTAGGCCATTTGGAGTGGTGTAGTATTAGGAGTCCAAAATGTTAAAGATGGAATTTTTGGACTTCTAATTTCATAATTTCATGTAGGGGTAGGCTAAATAGGGTATTAAAAGTGGGAAAGGGGTGGAGGGTGTTAGAAATAGAGGGTGAAAAAATTATTTGCTTTCTGTAATTCTTTTGTTTGTTCTGAATTATGTTTTTGTTTGTTCTTTAGCCTTCTTTAATAATTTTGTATCAGTTTTTACTAAAGCTTTACATTTCATAGTTTGTGATCTGTATGACCACATAGTTAAAAAAAAAACTCCCCTAGTCCCCCATGCCCTGCCCAAATCTTCCTATCTACCTGTGCAAAGTACATATTAGTCACCGGGCCGGGTGGCCCGAACCGGGCACCAACCGGTTCACCGGGCCGGGCCGGGCCCCCACAGTAGCGGGCCGGTCCGGTTCCGGACCGGTCGGTCCGGCCCGAGTCCATTCCTATTCTCTTGTACGGAATATATACAAAGTACTCCATAATTAGTTGGATAAAGCCACAGACTTACCTCTCTTATATGAAGATATAATCTGGTATTACTTACATATATCCACACTTGATAACCTTATCAGTAATCAGTAAGCAACTAAGACTTTTGGAAAGTCATAATTTGATACTCCGTACGATATTCATTTTGCTTTTAGTAGTGACCAAAATCAGTAAACAAGTTTAATAAAGTAAAAACACTACACGACTAAAGTGACAAATCAGCCCATATTTATGTGCAATTGCATAATAAGACACAAAAGTATCGTTTTATACAACTACAAGTGCAGAAGGTTAAATATACCTCATTCCAAGTACTTATTAGACTCATTAACACCATATACAAAAAATAACTTATTCTGAAGGGAGTCTTCAATTCTTCATGTGTGAATTATTAAGACAAAAATGCAAGACCCAAGAGATGCATTCTAGCCACGCGAAAGGTTCTCCTCTCCAAAGTGTTCGCACCTCGGAAGTACAAATCTTAATCACAATCTAAATGACATTATTTAAATGTTAAAATCAACTAGAAAATAAATTCTAGTTTTGTGATTGGGGTGTACTCGCTAAAAATGTAACATTACTATGAGCTTTCCAAAAGCGTTATCTAGTACATTGAAATTTTAAACACTTTTACTAATGTAATGCACAGTTACACTTCTGACAAGAGCAAAGTTGAGATTTCCCACTAAGCCAATTAATGCTCTCCAGAACTCTTATTGCCAAAAATAAGTGGTATTTTAAAGGATACTCGATCGTTATTTGCGCTTAAATAACAATCAAAGATTATGAGTTTAATAAACTCATGATTAAGGGGAAACAAAGTTAATGACTTTAATAGTTATAAACTTTAATTCAGAGTGACAACTTAGAATAAAATTGCAGAAATGCTACCGCAAAGAATAAAACAATAAATAAAAGTGGTGGAGTCTATGCAATTTTATTCCAAGCTATCACTCTGGATTAAGAGGAAAATAACAAATATCTTAAACTTTGAAGGGTGTGAGATAAGTATACTCAATTTGCATATGCAATATAGATAACTTAAACTTTATATAAAAATTTATTTTTTCACTATAATTATATGGTTTTTACAAATATAATTTATTGCAATAAGTACATAATCTAAAGTACTCCAAGCTTTATTTAGATAGAATTGTTAACAATATAAAAAATCATTTGTGAAATAAATATTATTACATCCGGCTTCAATATAATTTTAATTGTGTCCTCCTAAGTGCTTTGTGTTTTTTTTAAATAATGTACTTAACACCATAAAATTACATTTGTGAAAACATTATATGATCATAGTGCCAACATATCATTTTATATAAAGATGAGGGTGCATATATTGCATGTGAAAGTTTGGGGTACTTATCTCACTCCCCTTCAAAGTTAGAGATATTTCAGTTATTTCCCTGGATTAATAGTGTGTACGGTAAAAAATTCTAGACTGCACAAATTAATAAAACAATTTTTTTTTGTATATGCAACATTGATTACATATGAAAGATAATAAAAAAGTTATTAACTTTTAAATATTTTTTGTAACAATCGGAGTACATAAAAATATTATAGCACTTTAAACAACAGTTGTGTTTGAGAGTGTTAAAATATATTGTTATCTTTATATATTCAATATTGGTGTCTTATGAAAGATAATAAAAAGTGATTATTTTTTATATATTTTTTGTAACAATCGGAGTACTACTAAAAAAGTTATATCACTTTAAAAAATAAATATTTTTAAAAGTATAAATTATTTTAATTAGTAGTACTTGTTTTTATTTTAGTTTTTGTAGGTTTGTTTCAAAATTTGGACTTCTAGCATACACTTGATAATCAATATTTCAGTCCCGATTATTTTAGACTTTAAATTGCTCGTTTCGTGTCTAGCGAATCAGGTTCCTTTGTATGTAATCAGTATTTCGGTCCCGATTGTTTTAGGCTTTAAAGTGCTCGTTTCGTGTCTAGCGAATCAGGTTCCTTTGTATGAAGTGTCTGTTCTATGCTTATTCTAAGGGCTCACAATCAGATCTGTCATAACTATCTGGATGTTATCTTGTTCTCATTTTTAATATAAAAATTGATCCTTTATATTAAAAACATGTAAAAAAAATTTTTTGTATATTCAATATTAGTGTCATTTGAAAAATTATAAAAGTTATAAATTTTGATATAATTTTTGTAACAATGGGATTATAAATAAAAAAGTTATAACAATTTAAAATAAACATGAAATTTTATTTTGGCGGGATCCTAAATAATAGAAGTTTGAGTAGTATTCAACTATCAAAATACAGAAAGTGATGTTTAAACAATAATAATTGTGGAGTTGACATGTGACAATGGTTTCATTAATTGTAGCCTTGAAATGTACTACCTCCGTTCCAAAAAACTTTGTCATTTTCAAAACTTTGACCGACTATTTCTTTTTATTGAAAATTATTTATAATATAAAAATTATATGAAAATGCTCTTTGTTAAAAGTACTTTCATAAAAGTATAAAATTTACAATTTTCATAATATTATACTAATCAAAATCAATGTTTAAATTTTTTGAAATGACAAAATATTTTGGGACGGAGGTAATATTATTTATGAATTTATAGATATAGATGTTTTTAAAAGTGTTAAATTATTTTTTAATTTTTCTATATTTAATATTGGTGTCATTTGAAAGATAATAAAAAGTTATGAATTTTGATATATTTTTTATAACAATCGGAGTCAAAATAAATAACTTATACGACTTTAAAAAACCATGAGATTTTATTTTGGTGGGACTCCTAAATAATAGGAATTATATTTTAGTTGAGTAATATTTCTATATGAAATACAACGTGTGCATAGCTAACCTTTATATAGATTCCTTTTATTTAGAAAGTGATGTTAAAATATTAATTGTGGAGGTGACATGTGACAATACTTTCCATAATTGTAACCTTCAAATGTACTATACATAGATAGATGTGTTATACTCCCTACGTCCTTGGACTTTGTCATCTTTCTTTTTTTGTTTGTCCCAAAAAACTTTACTACTTTCCCATTAAAGTAACTATAATGTGGTTCTACTCATTTCTCTCTCCTCTGCATAAACTTGAACCACACAATTTTTTACTATTTTTATTTGTCACCTAACATAAGGAGTGCAAAGTCCATTGGGACGGAGGTAATATATAGATATGTTAAGATTTACCTAATTTTTCACTCATACAATCATTTGATAAGTTAGAATCAACACAAAAAGGAGAAAGTTTCCCATCTAAAGAAAAATGTCATCCTCTCTCTTTGTTAAAAGAGATCGTTCAAATATACTATTCAAGCGGCTCGCCGCATGTATTCTACTTCAGGTGTGTGCATAAATAATATCCGTACTAATTAATGTTTCAATGGTACTTGCAACTTGGATGCTTTATTAATTCATTAATTGCTTGGTTTTAAGAGATTTATGGAAGAGAGTTGTAATATATTTTTATAACATTACCACTATTTTCTTGTGATTTCTAAACACATTTAGTATGTGCAAGTTTCGTACTGGTTCCGTTCTTGTCTATTGCGGGGTTCGTGCTTGTTTCGTGTATAAATCATATTAGGTAGATGATTATGATTTTGTTTCTTTTTATGTTCGATTTGGACAACACTTTTACTTCACTAGGGTCATATAGTATTTGCGAGCGTTCCCAAGCGGGCTTCATCATTTTATCATCATCTATAAGCAACTCAGTTTTATTTGCACTCCACACCTATGCTTGTTCGCCATTGTTTATTTAGAAAAAGTCGCAAAGTGCAAAGTAGAACAACATCATTTCTACTGGGCGGAGAAACATAGACTTTCATGTGAAAATATGTCTCTTTATTTGTTTGTTTCTACGTCTAGTTTGATCCACTTGCCTATCCTTTCTATCTTGCTTTCATGCATTTATACATTTCTGCTTGTTTTAATCATCTCTTCCTTTCTCCAAATACCCATTTTTCAATCAAAAGCTTTCCGTTTGATTTGTGCAAGCTAGCTACTTGTGTGCTTTATTAATTCATTAATTATTTGGTTTTAAGAGGTTTATGGAAGAGAGTTATTATATATTTTTATAACATTACCACTATTTTCGTGTGATTTCTAAACACATTTAGTATGTGCAAGTTTCGTACTGGTTCCGTTCTTGTCTTATGCGGGCTTCGTGCTTGTTTCGTGTATAAATCTTATTTGGTAGATGATTATGATTTTGTTTCTTTTTATGTTCGATTTGGACAACACTTTTCCTTCATTAAGGTCATATAGTATTTGCGAGCGGTCCCAAGAGGGCTTCATCATTTTACCATCATCATCATAATAAGCAACTCAATTTTATTTGCACTGCACGTCTATGCTTGTTCGCCATTGTTTATTTAGAAAATGTCGCAGAGTGCAAAGTAGAACAACGACATTTCTACCGGGCGGAGAAACATATGCTTTTATGTGAATA